ATCATTAAATCAAATCAAACAAAAAAATTCATATCAAAAAAATCAAATCGTAATGATTAGACACATGTATGAGAATTAGAGATGACCTAACATGATTTTAATTATGTTTAACTTTTAAGAATTAGAGTTGCAGCACTAGAGAATGGTGAACTTAGCCCTTTTTTATCCCATCATAAGTTAAATGCTAAGTGATCACAAATGTGTAAATAATAATCCCACACTAAGTAACTCTGAGTGGTTACTCTCTTTTGAATATGTGTCAGAACAGTAATATCTTAAGTTTTATAGTTAAGCCTTCCCTATTTCCAAAATTTCCTTATTCAAGAAAAAAAAAGATATAAATGAACAATTCCAAATTAAGAATTTTAAAATTATTAAGTACCTATTCATGACTTAATCTAATAATAATAACAATAACAACAATAATAATAACAACATTTAGGTGTATATTCAAACTTCCAAGGCAACTTCTAACTTGTAAGCACTCTACTATATGCAAATTGGGGATTGGCAAATGTTTGAATTCAATTTTATATAATATACACACACATTAGTAGTATTTTAATAGTACTTATTAATTGTATACATATTAGTTGGACAAGAAACAAAAAAAAAAGGGGAAGAAACAAAAAATTAAAAAAAATGGAAGGAATAAGAATATAAATTTGTTGGAATTATGAGGGACAGAGACAAAGTTGCTTGTAGTTTTCACCCAAAGCCACTGGATTAGCAGCCCCACCCTTTTTCTGGCTGATCAAATGTCAATCTAAAAAATACCAATAAAAATGCACAATAATTAAACATAATTTTATATAACAAGTAGCGCTTTACATATATATATATATAGAGAGAGAGAGAGAGAGAGCTATTATATCTAATTAGTGAGCTATACAATATATTATATTCTTTTCTTCTCGAACTTGGAACAACACACCGCATGAAATAGGGGTTATTTGCCTGGGAAGAACAAGTTCAAATCATCCTAATAGTCAACATAAAGAAAGTGGAGAAGAAAACTGTAGAGTTTTCCTTTGATTCTGTCTTCAAATCCTTCTGTACCATCACATGCTCATCTCTTGATTGAAGAAGACTATTTGGTGGCAGCACTACACAGGGAATCCCTGCTTCTATTTCTTCTTGGCTTTAAAATCTGAAATGTATTAGAGACAGATGTATCAAAAGTAGTAGAGTCAAAATTGGGGAAGGAGAAAGACAATTCAGAAAGAAAATAATTATTTGTCACAAATCAAATACTTAAATTCTTTTGTAATTAGTGTTATATGGTTGCTTTTCTTTTAGGCTACATACTAATTTAATGTATATGTTTGCTATTTCACTAATGAAATACTCTTCAACTTTTCGATTAAAAAAAAAAAATGTAAGAGTTTCCCTTCTAAGTTATGCAGTCTTTGATACCTTGTAAGGGAAAAAGAAGCAATTTATTCAAAACCAACAATACATACACTTTCCTGGAGGAGAATCCAGAGTATGTAGCAGCCGCCTGTGAGGGTATCTAAAACATGAAATAGCTTCGTAATTAACCCTATTCTTGACAGGTATAGAACTGCCACTAGAGCTATTGCCATTTTCATATAAGGAAGACACATTTTGTCTTACCAAACCATAATATTCAATATCACTCACTCATGTTCATGTTTTCATTTCCTTCAGCAAATCTAGAATATGCAAGATTCTGCGAAAATCATGACAACCACGTCGATCCATTCTAATGGTCTAATTAGTTGAGAGGTCGTATTTAACACCTTAATGATCTGGCCATTAATATTGTACTATTGGTAAAGAAAAGGTGGGAGGGGTTAAGGTGAAAACTTTTTAAGAGTATAACTTTTGCTAGGTAGGTCCAAGTTGAGCCTCCAAAAGAGAGAGACAAGAGGAATCATTAATAGGTTACAAGTTTGTGGCTCTCCACCAAAAATCCATCTGGTTTTACTACCCCTCCCATTTCCTATTGTTCTAGTCTTGGATTAGAAGGGCTTTTGATTTGTTGAAGAGAGGAAGAAGCGGGGAAAGGGATGTAAGAGAGGGATGATTGTGGTTTGGATTCCATAAGGACTATACCCCACTAAGTCATATTTTCAATTCCTGCCCCAACACATCTATCTGCCTTTATGTCTTCTCCTTAGAGCTTTTGGGTATGGGGACTTTTGATGATGAAATGGTTTTCAAGAGTCATGCCACTAAAATGATTGTACCTCTTTCACTAAAGCTCATCACTTGCTGTCATCTTTTTCCTTTAACATCTCCCCTTTTCCCCTCCTTTATTTTTCCCCAAATGCTGTACATATCTGCACCGTCAGACAATGTAAATCACGTTTATGTATATCAGCTAAGATCCTGCATTTTGATGATCGAGAAAGAGGACTCAATCTCATGTCTGGAACAAATGATTAATAAAGCACATTACTTGCAATACTCTAGGAAGGAAAACTAGTATGAATAGCAACATTACTTAGTATCATCCCTGATTTGTGATGGTTGAAGATATCTAGGAAATATTACTAGCTCAAAACAAACAGAGTTACGGGATCAGGGTCAAAAGGTAGCAGAGGCTACTCCAGAGGTCCTACAATGTATGGAAGCTGGTGACTCCATCCATGGATTTCTGGAGCCTCTCTTTATGTAGGCATCAGTGTCAGGCCAAAATAGAAAAATGTACATTGGATTTGTGCAGTCATGATAAAAGGGAAAAAGCAGCTACATGCCAAAAGGCATCTCCTTTATAAGTGGCAATGGCATGAAGCAAAAGTAACTTCTGTTTGGGGCTTCAAGCTTTGTAGATCTAAGTAAATCAACACACAGTTC